TGAGTCATTTGCACTCTTTGCGTATAGTTATCCAAATTAACACAGACAGATATAAAATTAGTATGTGTCCAGAGTCTGAAAGAATAAATCAGCCTTAAAGAAGGCAGGATGTAGACAAATAGAATTTTTAAAAAAAAAAAATAAGGTGACCACCAGTGACCCTGTTTTTAAAGATATCACTTTTTTGCACTTCTAGATGTTCCACTATTGGCAGGTATGTCGGTTGCAAAACCTGTCTCAGGCTGGGAAAATTATTTTGTTTCCTTGAAGATTTTGAATACTGTCTATATGAGTGAGATTCTGTTCACATTTCCCTGTTTCCCCTCAAATAATCCACAAGGCCTCATTTGTTCTGTCGATTTTTAGAAAAACGATGCATTTAACTTTCTCAAGCTAGAAGCAGTCACTTTAGCTAGTTTTCCTTCTTCTTCATCATCTTCTTTTTATCCTTTTTTGCCCCTGTCCTAGAGCCCTTATCTTTTCTCCTTGCTCATTTTTCCTTTTCAGCTGTGTCCTCTTTCCTTCCTTCTCTGTCCTGTCTTTTTGTAGTTTTGGGCCCAGCTTGTCTTTCTCAGGATTGGTCTTCCTTCTCTCTTTCTTTCTTCCTCTCGCTATTCCTCTTTTTTTTTTTTCCCCTGTGGCCTGTTCATTCTTTTTCTTTTGGAGGCACATTTTTCCTAGTGATGGCTAAAACCAGCATGGGTATTTCAGAAATGTTTCCGTGAAAACTGTTGCTTTAAAAAAAAATCAAATTCTATATACGTGACAGTAATGAGAGAGGCCTTTCTCTAGCAAAGGCAGAAAAATTCCTTTCCACAAACTAAAAGCTCATGTGAATTTTAAAAGTCTAATCTCTGACTTCTCAGATTTTTGTTTTAAATGAGGGAAAATACCTTCCCCTCCAAATTTTGCTTGAGTTTTTTCCTTTGTTGTCTTTAATTTTCTTTTTTTGCTTACTACTCTCTCACCAGCATCACTGGCTTCCTTACCCCTTCATTGCTTTTTCTCTCATTCCTTTCTTCCCTCCCCTCTCCTTCTCCTCCAAGGCCTGCCTGTCCCCTTGCTCCCTCCAGCCCCTGAGCCCTTGCATTTGTGGGTGACTCAGCCCTGGAGAAGCCTTGAATCCTCAGAGGGGTTTTGTGTGTGTGTGTGTGTGTGTGTGTCTTGGCTCTCTTTGGGGTGCAGAGTATCTGAGCTCCCAGCCGAGACCTGAGACCAAGGGGAGAAGAGAAGGAGGCTGGGTCTGGGACAGGTAATCTTCCAGAAGGAGCCTCTCTCCTCTCTTAACAAAAGGGGGACAGTCCCCTTTTGTCTGGGGCTTCTGAAGGGCGTGTCCAGGACCCAGAGCTGCCACCAGTGGCATTCAGGAGGAGGGGGCTGTAGGGGTGGGGCATGCCAAGTGTTTCTCCCGGAACCCGAGCGATTCCTCTCCGGGTGCCCCGCAGGAGGGAGGGAGAGACCTTCTCACCACCCTCCCCGGCTGCTCACCCAGGAAGGCCTCCCTCTGCAGGAGCAGGGTGAGGGGAGAGTGCTGCCTGGGAGTCCCTCAGCCCACCTGCAAGGTGGCTGGCCAGGCCACCAGCAGGGCAGGTGGAGGACAAATGGTGATTGTTCTCCTTCCCCGTTTCTCTCCTGGGAAGCTCCAAGGTTGCTCCTCCTGTTAGGGGAGAGTTGAGGGGGCACAGTGGGTCCCCAGGCTCCACTGAGACACTCCACTGGTCGTCCGGGGACCTACACGTTTGTGTCCAGTCTCTCCACCATTCCATCGACCTTTGACCTCTCCATCCAGGATCTTGTCCTGTTTCCCTAACTTCCAGTGGAATCCTTCTGCCTGTCATCTCCTCTGCCACCTGCCCAACTGTACCACCAGGATTCAGAATCGACCCATGTTTAGTGCCTGGCAGGGTGGTCTGTGAGAGGGAACATGATAGAATTTTTCAGGAGGCTCAAGTTGGCCATTTTCTGTTTGGTGTCCAATATTTAGTATGAATCAAAATACCAGAAAAACACACCATGCATAATATAAACTCACTTGTAGTTTCTACTGTCTCATCTTGACTTCATTTATTTATTTTTTGTTTCATCTCGTCTTGAGATGAAGAGGCAAGGTTTGGTATCTCATGTTACTCAGTTAACATCCTTGGCTAATTGGACCAAAGGTGGTTATTAACGTGATGTTAATTATTGAATGCCACCCTAAGAGGCCTGTCTTGCAGTGACACCTGCCTCTTGCTCTCTCACCTCTAACTGTTTCTCTCGGGCCGCCCATGACCTCACTTCAGGCCAGTCAGGGCCTGGCCTGGGGTACCAGGTGCTGGGTGGTGCCTTCCCCATTGTCTGGGTCCAGCAAGGGCTCGGGGCTGCATGTTCCGTTGGGGCACACCGCTGGCCCTCTTCCTCGAATCTTTCCGCTGGGCTTAAAGGCCACCGAGGGTTTCAGATGGGGAAGAAAGGGGCGAGAGTGAGCCGTGACCTTCCTGTTGCCAGCTGAGGGCTGAGCCTCACCTGGGGAGAGGACAAATGTAGGAGCTGGTTTCTGAGAAGGGTCAGCCTCTCCCGGTCGGTGTTAACCTCCTCCTCCGCTCTTCCATTTTTTAAATAACTGTCTCCTCCTTAACTGCTTTACAAAGGCCTAAAGCTTGGCTGCTCCGGAGCCCCTACCCGAAAGGACCCAGCGGAGACGTCCACACTCCTGGCTCCCCTCCCCCACGCTCCCCTTTCCGCCTGGGAGGAAGGCCCAGAGCAGGGGTTCCCCGGGGAGTGGGGAGTGCTTTCGGGTGACTCGGTTTCCCCAAGGCTGTCTCACATTTCCTGATAGAGCTCTCTTCTGCCTTGTTTCCTTTCTTAGATCCCTCCCTTCCCTTAGGTTTCTTATTTTATGCTCTTATACCTTGCTCGGTATGGCTTGGGCCCTTTAATCTGAACAGGGCATAGGTGAGTGTTCACCCTCCTCCAACCCAGGAACTCTAAACAGAGCAAGTGGAGCAGGCAGAGCTGAAGAGTGCAAAGAACTAAGAGTTTAGGAGGTGGTGGTGGTTCGGGGGTGGCAAGGCTGGGAGTCTGTCCACCTTCCTGCCTTTGTCACTCCCCCTGGGGTTGGCTGTTGTGTCTGTGGCTGAGTGTAGTGCTTGTCAGTGCTGTGACAGGAGGCTATTTTAATAAACTTGCAGTTTCTCGATCGGAGCTGCACTGCGTTGGCATCCCTCTTCACCGCTAATGGAGCGTGTGTGGCTGGGTGTGGGCCGAGGGAGGCACCGAGCTCGATGGGGGCTGGGGAAAGGGAGGCCAGGCAGTGCTGGGGGCCTGCCTCCCGGCCTGGGAGCGCTCCGGTGAGCGCCGCCAGGCTGGGGGAAGGGGTGGCCGCACCCTGGGCGCCGGGTCCCTGCCCTGGAAGTGCTGCTGGCATCGACACTTTCCAAGCTCTCTTTCTTCTTCTCTTTCTATTCATAGCACGGCAGGCAGGCTCGTGTGTAGGGCCGGGGAGGAAAACTTCCACTCGCCCCTGTGCGTCCCATAAATAAAAAAAGAAATAGAACCAGAAAAAGAGTGTGCGGGTCTTAGAGAAAGAGACTGAAACCAAAACACAGAGAGAAGGCGCAGCTGCTTTCCCCAAGGCCTTCTGGGGCTCCCTCCCGCCCGCCAGCCCGCCCGGAGTCAGGCCTTTATTTATTTATTTTTCTGGCTTTAAAAAAAAATTCTATGTCTTCCTCAGTCCCAGTCCCCCTCAACCCCCTTCAGATTTGCTGGGTGGCCACTGCCAAATGGACCCGAGTAGGAGCCTGGAATGAAAAATTCATAACTGCTGGACTTTGCTTGTTCATTAGACGTGAACTTGTCGATTGGGCAAATTGTTTTTGGTCTCCAACTGCCGGGGGCTCTCCCCACCCTCTCGGCTCGCCCGGTTCCCTCCTCCCCTTGGACGCAGCCATTGGCTGCTCGAGGATGTCTCATTGCCAAATAGGTGGATCCTTCTCTGTCTCCCTCCCCCCTTTCTCCCCCCCACCCTTTTTACTGGCTTTGGCACCAGCGAATGGATGGGGATTGAGCATGAAAGGGGAGAGAGAGAGGGAGTTTGAGAGAGAAAAGAAGCAAAAAAAAAAAAACCCAAACCCAACCAGCGCACACACATACACACAAACACGCACACACACACACACACACACACACACACACAGCCCCATCCACGTCCTCCCTCTCTCCCTCTCTCTCTCCTTCCCTCCCTCCCTCCCTCGCTCCCTCCCTCTTTTGCACGCTTCTGCCAGCGACGGTCTGCAGCCGGTCCGAACTCGTCCTCTTCCCCGGGAATCTGTGAGCTCCCCCTCTGCCTGCGATCAGGCTCAGAGGCGGAGGGAGGCAGCCCGAAGTTTACACCCCTGTGCCGCTGCCAAAGCCGAAAGCCTTTTTCTTCAGCTGCCGATTCCCCCCCACCCCCGTTTTTGTTTTTGTTTTGTTTTGCACAGGGGTGGGGTAGGGCGTGTTGTGTGTTGGGGGTGGGGTGGGGTGGGAGGTAGGTTTTTGACTTTTAAATTTTGCATATTTTTCTTTTATTTATTTATTTTTTAAAAAGCTGGAAGAGGATGCACAGGGGGTGAAACTGAAAAAAGAATTTTTTTTTGTTGGCTTTTGTTTACCTGGCATGTGTGGTAATCGACTCTCTCCCTCTCTCTGCTTGCTATCCCTGACCTTTCTTTTTGCTCCTTTAAAAAAAATATTAATTTCCCCCTTCTGTGCAGTGGAGCATGGGGGGGGAGGGGGAAGGGTTTGAGAATCCACCCAAGCCCGGCCCCTAGTCCCCAGAACACCAATAATAACCCCCTTTAAAACATTTACCTTCCTCCCCTGCTCCTCCCCCGCCCCCTCCCCCCACCCGCCCCCAACTCACAACTCTGTTGAGTCCAGAAGCTCAGAATCGGGCGTTGGGCTTTGCCGGGTGCTTCAGATCAATGGTAATTATTTATTTTTTTCCAGTTTTATTTTTGTAAACAGAAATCAATTATTATTTAAACTTCAAACAAGCAAACAAGCAAAAAAGAAAAAGAGGAAAAAAAAAAACCAAAAAACAAAAAGCGAGAGCCCGGCCCTCTGTCACCTGACTGAGTGGGAAAGAGGGTGAAGGGGTCAGTGGGGACGGGGGACTGGATGCCCCCCGTAGCTTTTAACCCTACTGTGGCTGAGACCACCACCTTATTTGTGCTAACAAGAAGCGTTTTGTTCCTTATGACTGTGGTTAACATTAGTATTGGTGTCGATAACAAAGCTGAAATCACATATTTAGGATTTAGATCTGATTTAAAAAATGCTGGGGTGGATGTTCCAATCGGAGCAGAAGAGAGAATGAAAACAGCCTGGGGAGGGGGAAGCCAAATCCTTCTCCTGGCTCGCTGACTCGTGGATGTCATGTTCGCTCTTCTGGGGGTGGCCAAAAACCTACCGGTGTCGGGGCGAGAAGCGGCCCTCGCCTGCCCGCGTGTGCGTCCTCGGGCATTCGTGCAGACTGGACTCCGTGCCGGGGCGAGCTGACACGAGTTCGAGACTGCATAGAACATGGAGATGTCATGGGCGCGACAGAGCCTGGCGGGGATACCAGCAGCGTGTGTGTGTGTGGACGGCAACGTTGTCTGTGCGCGCGTGTGTGAGTGAGTGAGGGAGAGAGAGAGAGAGAATAGGTGTGTGCTCAGGCTCTGGGTGTCTCTGTCTGGCTGCTGAGGCTGAGATGGGAGCGAGCGGCAGGCTAGGCTGGTGGCGGCTCCAGACCACACTTTCCTAGAACAATTGCAAGAGAAAATTGTCTTGGGGGGGGGGGAGGAGGAGGAGGAGAAGGCGATTTTACTTGTGCCCCCTTTCTAACGCTTCTTTTCTCCTTTTCTCTTTCCCCCCTCACCCCGTCTTCCCCTCCTCCCGTCTCCCCTCGCCCCGCATGCTCCCGGCTTGCCGCCTGCAGGATGAGTTCCACCCGTTCATCGAGGCGCTGCTGCCTCACGTCCGCGCCTTCTCCTACACCTGGTTCAACCTGCAGGCGCGGAAGCGCAAGTACTTCAAGAAGCACGAGAAGCGGATGTCGAAGGACGAGGAGCGGGCGGTGAAGGACGAGCTGCTGGGCGAGAAGCCCGAGATCAAGCAGAAGTGGGCATCCCGGCTGCTGGCCAAGCTGCGCAAAGACATCCGGCCCGAGTTCCGGGAGGACTTTGTGCTGACCATCACGGGCAAGAAGCCCCCCTGCTGTGTGCTCTCCAACCCCGACCAGAAGGGCAAGATCCGGCGGATTGACTGCCTTCGCCAGGCCGACAAGGTGTGGAGGCTGGACCTGGTCATGGTGATTTTGTTTAAGGGGATCCCCCTGGAAAGTACTGACGGGGAGCGGCTCTACAAGTCGCCCCAGTGCTCGAACCCCGGCCTGTGCGTGCAGCCACATCACATTGGAGTCACAATCAAAGAACTGGATCTTTATCTGGCTTACTTTGTCCACACTCCGGGTAGGTTGCTCTCAATCCCCCCTTCTCCCTCCGCCCCATTTTACTTGCTGGCATTTGTTCTGTTTATTGTACCTCTTCCTATCAAGGGATCCTCGCATGTACACACCAGGGGCCTAACTGGTGCACCCATTCTGCTGAGGCCTGCAGCTCATTTGATGTTCCCCTTTCCCTTCTGTTTCCTTTCACTTGCTCCGTTCTTCCTCCTTTGCTCATTTGCCATGTTACTGATTTGATTTTCGTGCTTCTCCATCTTTGGAGGACTCAAAAGACGCTGCAGGTCCTAGGACTAGGGCCAGGACGCCCGTGAATTACCCGCGATGGTGAGAGTTTGTGAGAAACACCACCACCATCACCAAGAAAAAAAAAAAAATCTCTCCTTGCTCTGATTTTAAATGAATCAGAAAAAGTATTGGGGAGCAGGTACAGGCTTTTCTGCAGCTTCCTCTCAAGTCCTGGGGAAAAGCCAGATTTGGCACAAGCGGGGTGGGCAGTGGTTCGGTGGAGAGAGGGGCGTGTAAAACCCTGGGATCTGAAACAGAATGAATAGAAAAGAGGAAAGAAGGCAGAGGCGGGCAGATTCTGGGGCCCAGATGCCCAGGCGGGAGCTGTTTTGGCTGGGATTTGGCTGACGGAGAGGAGAAAAGTCATTCGATTTCATAGAGAGTGAAAATGAGCAGAGCTCCCTTGCGCTCTTCCCCTTTCCTGCCCCTTCCCCTGCGAGTCTCAGCTGAAGTAGTGAGACCCCCGGGGTGGATGCCCCAAGCCCCAACACCTCTGCTGGGGGTGAGGGGGAGCAGGCAGTGCTGTGGAAAAGGTCTTAAAGAAACAAACAATCAAAACTCTGTAAAATCTCCTTTTTCTTTTGTGTTCCAAATAGTTCCACCTCTCTCTCCTCTTTGCTTTTCCAATTTCACCCTGCATTTTGGGTTGTGGTGGTTCAGTTCTCCTCTGTTCTTTTTTTTTTTTTCCCCTCCCTACCCTTTCCCTTTTTATAATTTCTTTCCGCTTTTGTTTTCTTACAAATTGAAACTGCATTTTGGGTTGTGGTGGTTCAGTTCTCCTGTTCTTTTTTTTTTTTTTTCCCCTCCCTACCCTTTCCCTTTTTATAATTTCTTTCCGCTTTTGTTTTCTTACAAATTGAAACAGAGATGGCTGGTTAATTTTTAGCCTCCACTCAGCTACGCCCAATTTACTGCCGCCTTTGAAACCTAAACGGGCGGCACTCTGTGATTAAGCAAGGCAGAAGTGTGTTTACATTATGCCCAACCAACTTGTAATGAGAGGGCTACCAAACCTTTCTCTTTCTGTGTTTTTTTTTTTCCTTTCCACCATTCCAACCTTTCCCCCTCCTTTCCCCCCCTTCTTTCTCTCTTCATGCGAATGTAAGAGAATGTGGCTTAACTTCAACTCTAGTGAATGTTCTTTCTCCCGCAAATATGTGTGTGTGTGTGTGTGTGTGTGTGTGTGCGCGCGCGTGTGTATCTTCCTTCCTGTTCATTCACAAAAAAGAAAAGCAACTCACTTTTCTGCTGTGGTTACCCCCTTGCCTGTTTGGGATGTTGGGAGGAGAGAGATGACTTAATCTAGAAAGGAAATTTTGGGGCACTTTCAGTATTGCGTCAGGATTGAGGACTCAACTCGGATTAGCACTAAGAGTTTATATATTGGGAAACTCAGGAGGAGGAAAAGGTGATATTTTAGGCCTCTCTTCTTGCTCATTCTCTCTTCTGAGAAGTGGCTTTGGTGGTTGGATGGAGGCAGTGGACACCACCCCCCTCCACCACCCCCCCACATTGTATTTCCCTCTGTGGACCTTTCTAGGCCTGTACCTGGCCTTGTGTGACTATCACAGTCCCCTCACAAAGAATGGCCAACTGCTGGTCCTCTTCCTTATTCATCTATTTTCTTTCTGGAAGGGAGATCAAAGCAAAAATTAAAAGTTATTCCCTGATTCTATGTCTGTGCAGCAAATCAGAATGGGAGGTAGTGGTATTGGAAGTGGGTTGGGGCAGGCTTGAAGACCTGAGATTGTGTCTGTCAGATAGCTCCTCTTGGGGTGGGGGGTGGGGGTGGGGTTCTGCACCTTTCAGTTTTGGATCTAGGGCCTCTAAGGTGAAATCAGTACCCATCTTCCTCCTGAGCCAGCTTCCTCTACCTTGATCTGTAGCTGGATCCTGTAGCAGAGCTGTTTCCCTGACTTCTTTTATTTTAGGTTGTATTTTTTACTGCTGTTAGCAAGGGGCCAAGGTAGGGTGAAGTATGTGTGATGGAGACCATTTCCTGACCAGCCAGCTGGTCCTGGACTGACCAGACAGGTGTAAGGAGAAGGATGGCACCCCTACTTGCCCGCTAGACATAATGAGAAGATTTTCCCAGGAATATGAGTAAATCCATGCCCATCACATGTAGTCGTGGCCCCTCTGTCCCAGCTGAGGCTGAGTTCCTTGACAAAAGCTGAGTGGAGAAATGAGGACGTTTCTTATAATTTGTCCCCAGTTCAGGTCCCTGGACTCCGGATAGTTTTCAGGAATGTAGGAATTTTGTTGCTGAAATTACTTTAACTCGAGGGCACCTTTCTGAGGGAGTGGGGGTAAGTGGATATGGTGTGGCCTACCCATGGGCCTTGGGTAGATGGCTTGAGATTGCATGAAGTGGTGGGCATGGCTTTCTCTCCAAACCACTCCAGTTTACTCACAAATGTCTTCTCCTGGCTGAGCCCCCAAACAGTGCCAGTCTAGTAGTACAACCTTCCTCTTCCATGTCCATGCAAAGATCTACTTAGTAGGGTGTCACTTGTTCCTTCCTTCCAGTATAAACCAGGGCTGGTGGCTGGGGCAGCAAGGGCTCAGACAAGGGTTACTTTAGATTCTAAAAGAAATGCTGTCCTTCCCTTCAAATGGGCTGACGAACCTGATCTGGGTTGAACTGGTGTGCCAGGTTTGATGACAAGCAGACTTGTGATGGTAAGCTTGGGGGTGTGGCTTCCCCTGCAAGCGCCATTGTCATCCATCATCTATGGCCCTTGTGGGCCCTTGTTTTGTCTCACGTGAAGCTTTAAGAAGTGGCATGGTTGAGAGGGACTAAAGGACTAGTGTATGTGACGTCAAGAGCCCCACTCCCAGAACACAGGGTCCTAAAAGGCCACTCAGAGTGTTTTGCACCCTTCATGAGGGTGGCCTTCCTGCTGGGTACCTTTCCCATTCAGGAGGGGATGTTGAAGCAGAACCGGGTCAGAGAGTACTGCCATGGGAAGAAGGTTGTACATTTTTGACATTGTCCTTCCATCCAAAGGGGGTGTCCCAGGGCAGTGGCTGGAGACAGAGGGGGACCTGGGGCCAGGCGGAAGGATGCTTGGGTAAGGAAGGGTGGCTGAACTGGTCTGGAAGCATGGCTATACTCTCCCCAAAGCTTCTTCAAGAATCTGAAGGTAAACGGGCATCTTCAGACCATCCTTAATCTAGGCCTCCATCCTAGAAAAGAAAAAATCTGAAAGTAATAAAATGCTTTACTGAATAAAAACGTCAGCTTCTCCCCGTCAGATCCCTCCAACAGGCCCACAGTGGAGGCCCATTAAGTCCAGGTGTTCAGGGGGTGGCTCTTTTCTTTATCTCTGCTTTTTCACTATGGAGAAATTTACACATAGAAGGAACTCCCATCACCAGTGCCAGTTTATGGCTAGTTTCGATTCATCCACAGCCCCTGATGCCTACCTACTCTGGGTTGTTTAGAAGAAAATCCAGGCCTTATAGCTTCTCCTGTGTTAATATTTCTGCACATGTTTCTAAAGATAAAGATTCTTGAAAAATGGAAACATAATATCACTGTCACACTGAAAATGATTTCTTTGGCTGGTCAGTGTTCACATTTCCCTAATAATCTCCAAATTTTGTTTGTGTAGATCAGGATCCTGATCAGGTTCATGCACTAAAGTGGGTTGCTCTGTCTTGGAAGTCTCATAAGCTCAAGGCGATCCTCCCCCTCTTCCTCCTTCTTCATATTGGTTTCTTTCCTGGCAGTTGTTGGGTTGTTGTTGTGGAAGGGACCTGATGATTTCTCCTGTAGAGTTTCCCTGTCTGGACTCGGCAGGCTGTGTTCCCCTGCGTTGATCAATGTGCTGCTCTGAAAGGAGCTTCTGCCTCCCTCCTTGCTACCAGGTCTGGGGACAGCTAGGCCTTACCTGTCGCAGGAAATGGATTAGCACCCGAGGATCTGTCCAAGTGAATTTTCTCAAGTGCAGAGTTGCCCTTCTCGGTGTAAGAGCTCCCTGGCTTTCACTGTCTGCTTCAGAGCTTGGGCTTTCCAGTGAGCGCGGGTTCTCTGGCCCAAGCGAGGGCTTCCTTGGCAGTGGAGGGCCTTCCTTGGCAGCGGAGGGCACTGGCCGGCCATGTCAGCCCTGCCGAGATGTGGTCGGGGCTAGTGGCATCCCCCAAGCCTCTGCTGGATGCCTGGCCCCCTCTGGTGGCCCTGGTGTGAGTGCATGGGAGTGGCCAAGGGCACACCAGCTGCCCTCTCCAGAGGCCTTGCTCCTCCTGAGGCTCCGGTGCCTCTTCACCCATGCCCAGAAAGGCCGCTGGTCTGTTTTTGAGGCAGCGCCATCTGGTGCCAGGGCTGTTGAAGACTGTGTAGCCTGGTTACCAGATTCCTAAAACCAGCAAGATACACCCGTGTAGGGTTAGATGCCTTTGAGAGTGTCCCAGAAGAGATGTCACGGTGGTTCGAGGATCAGCTTCCGTCGTCGTAAAAGTCTTCTGTTCAGCTAATTCAGAGGATGGTTAAAGGGACTGAACCAGCTAACACGTAAAGGTACTGGCACATAGCAGGCAAGCAGTGGATGACGGCTGCTGCGATTCTGATGTTACAACTCCCTGAGCCCTAGGACATCTCCCTGTCACCTTTACCTATTGGTTTTGTTTCTGCCTTAAGGGTCGAACGAGGTGAGAGCTCATTTTTCTGTAACACAGAAGTGTTTCAAGTGCTGGAGACAGGGCTCACAGTTCCTC